GTGTTCGCTGCTGACTGTCCGTGAGCATGACTGCTGGGGGGGGAGGGGGAGAGGCTCGTGTGACCTTTGTCCCATTTGCGGCTGTTGTAATTGTTGGAAAGTTAGTGCGCTCCCTGGCCTGTCCCTCGTCCACCGACGGACTAATCACCTGTTGCTGCTCGCATGAGTTCACGTCGACCTCGTGTGTGCGGTAGCGGTGATGTAGCGTTCCACGCTGGTCACGTGGTCCCTGGCCGAACCATCTCCTATCTTCCTGTGATCTCAGTTGTACTCCACGCTTGTGTCTGCTTCGCCGTCCTGTTGGCCATGTTCGAACTGACTCGAGCCGTTTGCCTACCGCCTGTTAGGTAGGATGAAGGTCTATGGTTCTGTTAAGTGTGCCAGTCGGAGACCAAATTTCCAGCAGTAGTCCAGCCATCTTGTCATTGGCTCGGCCTATCACCCTTGCATTGTCGAAGGCGAAGATGTGGTTCTTCTGCTGTACGTGTTCATAGACCATAGGCAGCTTATCCTTGCGGTTGATTGCGAGCTAATGTTCATGCAACCCGGTACCAAGGCGTCTGCCCGTTTCACCGACATACCTTGCATCACAGTCTTGATATGGCATGCTGTAGACCATGGCTGACTGTTCTTACAACTCTAGCAGGTCTTTAAGCCTCATACTCTGCTGTCCGATGGTTGATTCCGGCTTGTGAGCCACACCGTTCCCGAATGGCTTCAGGATTCTTGCAGTCGTCTCGGAATTTACCTAACTAATGAGTTTTTAAACATTTTTTCCTACGCAGCCGTCTTTTTGGGCCACGGTTTTAGAATAATCCAAACATGTTAGATTGTATCTTTAGGAGGATCTTGTTTTATTATAGTGGCGGAGAATATATGCAAACTGCCCTTGGATGAAGGACACGGTCAAGAAGAAATTTGGCCATATGGGTACGACATCGAAGAAGGAAGTTGCATGATATTCCGTTACGGTGGGAAAGGTGGCAATGCCAACAGATTTCCCACAAAGGAAGATTGTGAGGAAGCAATTACGGACTGCGCACAGGAAGGTATGTCAGAGAGCTACTTCTCGCGTTGTATACATATATTCGTGTCGCCCTTTTGTTTTCATAAAAAAGTTAGCTTATGCTAATACATTGCACTAACTCCTTGGTGTTATAATCATCGCTTCACTCGCACGGCCAGCACGTTCTGATTTTAGAGGTTATTTTGTCTTGTTCTACAGAAACGGTGGCTCTAGAGTGTTATATGGGTGGGGAATTAGGATAGGCAGTGGAGTTTACTTTAAAAACTGCTATGTGCATTTTTATTTTACTGTATCGAGAAATGTTGTGTTTTGTATCTGAAGATTTTCTTAATCTGTATTATTGTTTAAAGTATTGCGAAAAAACCCCAATTATCAAAATGTTTTAAAATTCCGGAAAAAGGAAAATTATGGTTAGGAGGTCATCTACTTCAACTCACCTGAGGTCCAACTTACGGTTCCAGAGTAAGATTACTATCGATTTACACGCAAATCAACTTACTCCCAGCGGCCGCGGGAACCAAATTCAGCTACATTTTCCCACTTTACACTTGCCTCTACAAATTTCCTTCAACGCATAGCCTATTTCCCCACTCCCCAAAACACTTATAACCACCGCTTCCGTAGGACAAAATGCTGAGACAAGGGGTCTGTTATGTTTTTAAAATGAGGTAACACGTCGGAATAACGGTCGCTATTTCACTTGAAAGCATATGCTTTGTGTTTCTTGTTGCTTTTTCAGTGTCCATAAATTAGGCGTAGGCCGGTATCTCTAAGTCATTGCCAGATAGAATAATATAGGTCCGCACTTCTTTTATGCACAGACAGTTAGAGAGAAACGGCTGCTTATGAAGCTTGTCTAAGAAAAAACACGATCACAATTTATCGGGACATTGTCACTATGAATGGTAGTTCGAACTGCAGTATTCGTTTTATACTGTCTGTAGTGTCAGTCTTTAAAAATATTCGACTTATAATAAATAGCGGTTTGCTATGAAGTACCTTGAACTCGACACACCGGAGAAAGGAAAAATATAGGCTTATTATCTTTGAACTCCCTATTGGTGCAGAACAGCTATGAAATGCAGTGGTATAGAAGAATCTTCCAAAAGAGTGGCGATGCCAACAAATGGAACTGAGCAGAAAGAGCAGACAATGAAAAAAACTATTTAGGCATTTTTCGGACAATCTAGAAGTTTGAATGCCATTTAGGGGATTTTAAGGAGAAAAGCCATTACTCGTGGGCGGAATTATATGCAAGATAGGATAGCCTACTGGTTTGTACTTGAAGCAGGTCAAGAGGATTCCTAAGGTTCACACGAGGGTAAGAAGGCAGGGCTCCCGAGAACATCACCGAGATGCACCCATGATGCGCTCTTGTTAATTACCAAGTGTGCTGACGAGGTGAAAAAAACAAAGAGGCCCTTGCACGATTCTCAGCAGTCGGTTATTGGCCGCCATTAGGAAGGACTCCACAAGGCCACGTAGCCTAGGCCTATAAGGTTCGGTGGAGGTGATTATTGACGCAGTTTGCATAGAGCCATAGGGGCCAATGCAAAGTTAATTTTACTCAACAGATATGGAACCAAGCACGTTTTCTAGGCTAGTGCACGTACGTACATCTCACTTCCTTCCATATTTACAATAATAAACCTGCATTTATTAAATATATAGAAACGTCGAAAATGAAAACGCAACACTGCGACACTGCCTATCTTGGTTGACTATGACTACTCACGTGTAGTCGTGTATCAGAGAGCGCACCTTTCAAACCCGACCGAAAAGTCGCTCTTTTAAAGGTGTGGGCAGGCTACCATTATACATCTGCCCTTGACTTAGTCCGTACAATAATTAATACTATACCATTAGATTACTAGTAATAAGTACTTAAAATTGCTTTGCTTTTCTTGCTGCCTGCCAATAAATAATGCTAAGGCAGGTTTTTCTAAGGTATTTCCAGATAGCATACGAAGTTTATCGCTGTGTTAGCATGTGGTCTAAGGGAGACCATGAAGACTCTTTAACAGTACTCCATCGCCATGAATGGCAGTAGGCTTCCAATTGCTGGTTTTGTGGTGTTTAAAAAATCGACTTATTAGTATTCCTGGTTTGTGAAGAAGTACCATAACCTCGACACACCGAGGCAACAAGAAGCAAGGTTATTAAGAATCAGCAGCTTTGAGATTGAGCACGTTTTTGGCATATGTGCGTACGTTGATAACACGTCCTTCCATATATACACTGATAAACCTGTATTTATTAAATACACTGAAGGGTCGAACATGAGTGGGCAACACTCTGACATCTTGGGAATTGAGAAGAAGAAAACTCAATCGCTGGGACAATATGTTTATTCGCCTGACGTTTCGATATCCGTCG